CAAGGTTTACTCCACAAATTGCATATGTTACACTTTCTTATTCCCTATATTCGTCTCATCTCCTCTTTTCTACACAGGCGGTGTGCTGCTACACCAACTGATGGGATTCTCTCTCACACTTTTACTCTACATGCTGGAGTCCCACAAGGTTCTGTGTTGTCTCCCCTTGTGTACATTCTCTATATTGCTGATATGCCTTGTCCCTAGCCTCCTCTTCAGTTGTTTCAATATGCTTATGATACAGCTTTGGTAGCACATTGTTCCACAATGTCAACTCTGAACAAGCTACTCCAGGCTGATGTAAATTCTTTTTTGTCTTGGTGTCACTGCTGGCGACTATCCCTCAATGTTCCTAAGACACGAGCTATTATTTTTGGTCCAACTCGTCATAAGTTTCACTCTTACCGTGACCCATCTCTATTTGATGTCCATGTTGACAATGTTCCGATCCCTCCTTTCTGACTCCGTGACCTATCTAGGCATTGTCTTTGATAGCCATATTACTTGGAATCCATACCTATATGTCCTTTCAGCTAAGGTTACTCGACATCTTCATTTCTTCCATTCTCTCAACAGTACCTTCTGGGGCCTTGTTTTTATTTTGTGTTAGCAAAAGTTCACTGTTTTTTTTCACTTTTCACGGGATATAATATTTTTCTTCAATGCAATAATATCTCAATTTTGATTTTCCAGACGAAATAAACACTATCCGATATTTGTCTATTAATTTTGCGTTAAAATAGCACCTTTTTCCATTTTTCCAAAAAATTGATATTTACACCAAAAAGCCGAGGCAATATTATAGCCCATGTTTTTTCCCAATTTTTGAAATAAAATTGATTTTCCTCATATTTCAATACAAAGATGCCCTTGATGTAAGAATTTCAATATGGAGATCCTTTCATCGAAATTATCATTGGTTATTTCATAATCTGTTATCAAACTTTCAGCTATGTTTGATTTTACTTTCTCTTTGTCTTCATTTATATTGTAAAGAAAGTAGAGCTTTCAAAATAAAATTATTCAGAAACATCCCAACATATAAAAGGCTATGATGGTTTCTTGGTTTCTTATAAAATAAACTTCACCATTCGGATTATTTTTTCTCTACTTTAGCAAAAATTAAGTTTATTTTTAGCTTTTCATGGGACATAATAGTTTTCGTTAATGCTATAATGTCTTAATTTTTAGTTTCCCATCAAAATAAGCACTATCCGTATTTGTCTATTAATTTTGCGTCAATAAAGAACTTTCTTGCCTCATAGTTAGAAAGCCAGGAAAATTTTTAGTAACTGAATTTGTCTACTTCTTGCATAATATTGGTCTATATTCTTTGGTGTATTATTTAAGTAAATAAAAATTGTTAAGTGCTTTACCATAATCGCTAGAAATATCTGGCTTAACTCTACTCAACATTCGAGGACAGGAAAAAAGAAGATTTGGTAAGTACTTTATTTCTTGTTTTTCATATTTATTCTTTAGTTATTATGAAAGTAACTAAAATTAAAACTACGGATCTTTTTAAGTTATTTAAGACTAGAATAGGTTAAATAGGTAATAATAATAATAATATAATTAAAATTGTTCACAAAGGACTTAAAATTCGATAGCATACCGTGATCTGCACGTTCCCTGAATGATTTACAACTTATAATGGCGCGGATAGCAGTTAGACATGATTCATAGGGCAATAAAACAATCAAATTTAATTATAAATAGATGTATAATGTTACGAACTTAGAGCTACTTAGGATAAACGAATGTAGTTTCAGGTTACAATTTGAAGTCATACTGGAAAGAAAAGAAGGTTAATTTAGGTTTATTTCGATTTTTTTTTTGGTGGTTATAAGGTCAGTCGAATATACATATCCAGTTATGAATTTAAGGTAGAGAAAATAACATATAAACTATAAGGATTTAGTGAAAAAAACGCTAAAACCTCCTAAATGCATTTCAAAAGATTACACAAAGGAAATTTGAGATTTTTGAGATGAAGAAAAATTACTTTGCACACGGACTATTCAAAACAAATACTCAATATATTCATGGACAAACTTTTATTTTATTACAAATATTTCACTAAGAAATATTACTTTTTGTATGTGAAAGACTTGCAATATTAACTGAAAGGCTGCCAAATTTCGTGAAGATGTACCCAATATATTGAGAGTAAAAAATATTAAACTTATAAAGACTTTAAACGAGTACAAAAGGTCACGTGACTCGATCAAATTGACTGACCCCATAGTGAGAGAGTTAAAGACCTTCAGAATTGAAAGAATTTGCAAACACATCATTGTATTGCTGGAAAAAGAAAATATCTTAATGTTTGCAGCCAGTTGAGTAGTATCCATCTCTAGCAGTCTATATTTATGCTGTTTTGAAGTGTTTGATGGTGTGTATGGAGAAATGGCTCGTTTATCTAACTTCGAAGAGTTGTGCAAAAGTGATGTTCAACCCTATCACCATGGGCATTTTTTTCTGCACATGATACGAGGGTTTTAGTTTTTGTTCATGTTACTCCAGTTAATATAGCTTAAACTTGTAGCTAATAATCCATATATTAACCATATGACTACCAGCCACTAGTTTTTTTACTAGGTAATGTTGTTCTCATCATATTTCATTCCAAAAAAATAAAACTAGTGGATAAAATTGTTTAAAATTTGACAAGAACACTCCTAAAAGTATGTATATTCAAAAAAATAAAACAGTTTTGATTTTTTTATACTATTTCTAACAAAAGAAATTTGTTATTTAACGTAGCTATTGCACTCACACTTTGAATAGTTCAACTGCAAGGTGATTTTTATATGAAGTATAAGAATTCTCTTTTTTATCTTACATTTTGCACATTTCACTTGTATAATCTCTAGGACTTCATAAATGAATATCAAAAGTTTTTTAAAGGTAAATATTTATATTTTGTTTTAAATTTTCACTACTATATCACTATCTCTATCTATTATCATCAACATACAGTGCAATGAAATGTTTAAAATGAACAAATGGAAATATGTACACACCTTTTAGCTATTTGTAGAAATCCACCAGAAATCCAAATACTCTCTGCAAACACACGTTGCTGAAACAAGATGGTGTGGCCTGGTATGGCCAGGTGGTTAGGGTGTTCAACTCGCAATCTGAGGGTCACCAAACGTTCTCACTCTTTCAGGCATGGGTATGTTATTATGTGACGGTCAATCCCGCTATTCATTGGTAAAAGAGTAGCCCAAGAGTTGGTGGTGGGTGGTGATGACTAGCTGCCTTCCCTCTAGTCTTTCACTGCTAAATTAGGGACAGCTAGTGCAGATGGCCCTCGTGTAGCTTTGCATGAAATTCAAAACAAACAAACAACAAAATGGTGCTTATACATTCCATCTTGTTTATAACCTTTCAAAATCCAAGCAATAAGTTAAACTTATGAAACTCAATAAACTGTTCAAATATGATTGTTAAAACAAACATAATACATAATTAATTAAAATATATAATTAAGATTTAAATAGAATTTAACTGTCTCTCTAACTATAGCATATTTAGGTAAGAAATCACCATTCTTACTTTAGTCTACAAGGAGGGTTGCCACCAAGAAAGATTATGACGAGTTCAAGAAGTGAAAGTGAACAGAAATTGTCTCATAGCAGACTTAGTGGCACTGCCCTTAACTTCCTCTGTGGCTTCTGCTACTTCATTATGGTCAACTGCAGTTTCACAACTAGACTGGTGGTCTGTGTATTCCAGAGATTACTGAAATTGATTAAAAAGTTTAATATCTGGACAAGAGGAAAGCCCCATGCCAGGAAAAGTTTCAAGATATGATACAGAATGTTTCAGAAGTAAAAAGTGACAGCATGGATTATTTATATATAGAATGTTTTTGAACATTCTGAATAATGTGAAACACTCTAGAATATTCCAGAATATGCTACAATATTCCAGAATGTTCTACAATATTCTGAATATGCAGATATAATGAAAAATTTCAACTAACTTATTATATATTTTACAAACAGAAGTTATCTGTATAAACAGTGTTTCATTTAAGTCTATGTGTGTGTGTGTGTGTGTATATATATATATCTTGATTTACTTTTTTTCTGATTTTTATATGTAATTACTTTTTTGATAGGGAAAGGGCTAACCCTTGTGAGTTCAGTACTAGAAGGAGCATATAGGAAAATGTATAGTGAATCTCAAGCAGCTAAACTGGTAAGGAACTAAAACTTATATAAGTGTATAATACAGTCTTTGTAAACTTTTTGAAACATTGCTACATGTCTTTTAGAATTGAATGATATGAAAACTACAGGTTTCTATAAACAGTATTTATGATGTTCCAAATCTGTTAAATAGTGAGATGGGAACTCTTTCATCCATGAAAGCTGATAGTCTGATTTCTTTGATTGAAAGATTAGTGCTTTCTATTTTCTTCTGTGAAATATCATTTGAGAAGAAGTTTGTAATCACTATCATAACATACAATTCAAATAGGATACCTTTGTTCTCCAAAAGTTACAACAAAATTGATACATTTGCAAATATGCCACATAAAGGTAAACTTTATAAAGCAAAATCTCATATAAAATTAATAACAAATGAGCTGCACTATTGATTTGTTTTAACCTTAGTTGAAGTCTTTTGATCAGTAGACTTTCCCTTGTGTGCAGTCCTTATTTGTTTTTGCTCTTACAAGAAACGTAAATTAGTAAGAAACAACTTGCAAAAGCAGATACTGAATAAGAATTGTGCACAAAAAAGCCTATTTATCAATAGACTTCAGATGAAATTAAATGCACAAAGTTGTGCAGCTTGTTTATTATTAAAGGTAAACTATCATGTGTGGTATTAATAATTTAAAAATTTTAAATTAGTTAATCAAAAAGTGATTAAAATCATCAGCAGTTGCAATTTAATAGTTTTTACTATAAGAGATTTTCTATTTATACTTGTAGGTAGTATGTATAAAATGCAGCTTTAAATTTCGTGATATTGAAAAGTTTTCTTGTCAAGCTATGCCAAAGGAAATATATGGGCAACGTAGAATTATCTAGATTTATTATGGAAATTAGCATTAATAGAAAAAATCAAGAACCAAATGTTTATTATCAGTATAATAGTTGTCAGAAGCTCAATTAACCCTTTCCAGATGGATCACGGATGAAAGGCCATGTTATCATGTTTGTTGACTCACATACAAAATTTTATTGAACTACTATTTAATGAATTTGTCAGTTAGGTTTGGTATCAAACTGTAGATTATAATTCAAATTTTAGTATTATACATTATTCAATTTCTTAATTTAAAAGTAAATATTTAAAAAACAGTTAAACATCGATTTTTGTGTCACATTGTATGTTGAATGCAGCACTGGTTCAAATTA